TAAATACTGACAATGTGCAAGCAAAATACCGACAATGTGCAAGCATTGGTGATAAAAAAACAATTGTTTTCACTGTGTTTTTTTTTCCTCCTAAGGGTTTTTTTTCCGGACCCCGATGTCGATGTCCATGTCCATGTCCATGTGTAAGGTTAGAATGTGATTCGACTGAGGCAAGTCCGAGATGCAGGTCAATAGACAACGGGTGCAATTCAATTCACTGGTTCCAAATTTTCTGACTGCAACCAAATGAGGACTAACAAATAATTGCATTACACAAGTCCCTATAAGTTCTTATGTTTAACAAATGTATACATTTTGAACATGAAACAGTAGAGCTCTAGAAATAACTACTGGATAAGCTTGATTTTGTTGAACTTTAAACATTGAAATGGGCATAGTCATGAATCAGAACAAATGAATAAATATGCACCTTATGTATATACAAAGTTTTAAGGTAGCGAGAAGGAAAATTTTCACTTTTTTCTTGATTTTTAAAAAAATGATAAAACGGTTACTTTTTATCTGTATAATCTGATGTTGACGATGCTGATATAACCGGTGATAAGCTTCCCGTCGCAATCAATGCGTGTTTATCTAGCGTCCATTGTCAGCATTATTGTCAGTAGAGACTTCGTCGGAGAAACCATAGACCTTAGAATGAGCATGGTCATACAGTCCGAGCATACAGTACTCATTTCGCCGGCCGGTACTCATTGGGCGGCCCAATCTTCCGCTTTTACATCGACCGCTTATCGCTTATTTTCCGACCATGCTGTCTTGTCCGACCGGAAACCGACCACATTTTAAATCGCGTTTGTGTTTCATTGAAACACCGACCGCTCGCCCAAACACTGATCACTGGCACATGAGTGGTCGAAATGGTGATTTTGATAGTAAAGTGCGAACATACAACTAGTATTAATTATTATTACATTCTGAACGACACTTCAAATAGTTGTATGACACTTGTATCGTGAAAGCAACTGAACTGGGACCTCTTGTTACGTGATTTGGGTGCTTGTTCTAGATGTAATATTTTATATTATTTTAATGAGACAGTTACGTGAAAAAAGCATAGGTAACTCATTTTGACAGAGCAGAGAAACGAGGAAATGTTAATGATTAATTCCAAAAATAACGATACAGTATCAACGTTGATCGGTCTGGTAAAATTTGACATTCAATTTTCAAAAATAAGTCACGATCATTGAATGAGTTCAGTCTATACCGTATACGTACCGTAAAAGTGTTCCCATAAAAACAATTTCGACTGAAACGGCCAAATGTCGTATGAATAATTTATTGGGCTTAAAAATTTAGTTATGAACAAATGAACAATTCGAAACTCAGGATTCACACGGAAGTCCTCCAGGACTGAAAATCATCGGCCCTACTATCAGGGGGAAATCTCTTCTCTCT